GAGAGAGAGAGAGAGAGAGAGAGAGAGAGAGAGAGAGATGCCCCGGTAGCACCTCTCCTGGGGCCAGGGGAAAGACTGCCACTGTCAACAACGGCGACAGGGGCTTGCTGGAAAGATGGACGGTACCGGTAAGGGCATATGGGAAAGTTGTCTGTTGGTTCTCAACAGCCAGCCGGTACAGGCCTACTGGAAACTTGGTACCGGTACCGGTAGGGGAATATGAAACATGTTTCAGGCCCAAACAACTCCAGGGTTTTTCTGGAAACATCATTCGGGGCGCGACAAGGTAAGTCGGCTGTCAGAGGGGCACACCGCAAATAAGCGCATACTTCAGGGGCATTTCGAAAATTTTCCCTAGCTTTTTTCAATCCATAAAAACAAAGGTGAATGACAGAAAACAGCCTACCTAACACAGAAGGCTTCACCAGCAGAAAAAAAAACAGAGGCAGCGTATAGTCCAAAAAAACTTGGAGAGCCCTCCGAGTCAGCCCATAATCACAGCAGCACTGGCACTCCTATTCATCCCAAACAACACATTCAGGCCACCACATTCACAGAATCTCCACACGACACCAGGTGCACAACTGCTTAAAACACCATGGAAGCACCACCATCTTCCATGTGCTCCAAAAGAGCAGCCCGCGCGAGTGACACCCACAGCAAAGACTCTCTGAGCCTCCTTGCGAAGATACCGTGACCACGACTCCAAACAAAGATTCCCGCCCAAAAACAATGCGGCCACCCACAAACGTACCTTCATCAAAAGACAGCCCATGCTCTACAGCAGGGCAAAGTATTAGGCCATGTATGAATAAAGAACAACCAACAAATTATCCGACCACAAAAACGAATAGCTTGTGCGTGCTTGCTGGTCCGTGCGCCTGTCTGAGTGCACGTCTGCCTGAGTGTGTGTGTGGCCCGACACGGCACTTGCGTGTTGTGAGGCCAGCCGGGCCGGTACTTACCTGTGGCCATGACTTTGAGGGTTCCAGCGGGGAGTAGGCCCGTGACAGTTAGGGCAGCGGAGGAAAAACACTCAAGTAGCAGGTAGGCCGGTACCACTCAAGTAGCGGTAGATGTGTCAGGAACTGAAGGCTGAGAAGAAGAAGACAAAAAGTTGGCATTTTTAGAGGCCCGGTAGCAGTAGGCTAGAGGTAGGCGGGTACCAGTCCAAGTAGCCTGAGTCTAGGGCCTGTGCGGACGATATCAGAGCCTGCAATGATGTTTTCCTCCGAAAGGGAGGAGGTACCGGTTGCTTGGAGGCCGTGCGGCCTGGAAGTCACCGCCCAAGAGGCAAGTAGGCCGCTATATCTCCAGGTAGAGCGCTCGGCTCTAGCTCATTTGCGGTACGCAAGTTTGGGCGTCATACTGCTTGAGCGGGCGCTGGTTCTCACAGCGCTGCCTGGGAGGAAGGAAGACAGCTGGGCGCTCTGCCTGGCCATCGCGAGCAGCCCAGCGTGAGGAGGAGGAAGAAGGGGGCGAAGGAGAACAGTGGCAAGATACCTGCCTGGCTATGGTGGACACCATGTTCATCACCTTGTTAGGCGCTGCAACTGGAAGGCCTCAGTTGGGGTAGTGCTGCACCAGGACGCTTTAAGGCAGAGTCAGGCATGTCGGTCATAAGAGCAGCGACCATAGCTGCTTTGCGTTGTCTTTTGCACAGGAGGGCGGAGCCCTTAGTAGTCCACCATAGTCTATGCCTGTGTGAGGAAGAAGAAGAGGGAGGCCATGGCTATTATGGACCTCTTGTTAAGCTGGCAGTAAGAGAGAACTTCGGATATTGATTCTGGTTCAACCACTCATTGTTATTATTATTATTTGGGAGAAGAATAAGATCAGCGGAGACGAGGAGGAGGAGGAGGAAAGTGGAGAGAGATAGCAGACTGGTCTGCTCTTTTCATTACCTTTTTTTTTTTTTTTTGCCTTTTCCAAGTTAACTTTTCCTTACTTCCACTAATCCAATCCCAGAGAAGATACTGCTAGCCTTCGCCTTTACAAAAAGGCCTCTAAAAAAGTGCTAAGATTCCCTTTGCAGAAAAAAAAGACCTAGAAAATCCTACGGAACTTCCTTTTTCTAAAAAAAGACCGGGAAAATGATACGCACCCTCCTTCCACATACAGTGAGAGTTATGATCTGGCTTCTGTCAAGCTTTACTTCCAAGGGAAGCAGCCACTGTCGCCTGTACTCGTACTAACTCAAGTCCGTCGATTTAGGTTCCTTCCCGTCTGCCGATTCACTTAGTTAGGTACTACGAGCCCTCTGTCCCATTCGACCTGAATGGTTCACCGGTTCCACCAAATGCTCTCATCCCGAAATGGGATTCCAACTGACAGGTTGGACAACGAGAATGCAGATTGCGCTTCAGGTGCTGTTGCCACTCCGTTAGGAAATGACTGGAGGGTATCGAGGATACAATGCACTTGATATCAGGAGAGGTTCTGAGAGCCTCACACACAGGCTTGAAGAAGGGGAGAGAGAGAGAGAGAGAGAGAGNGAGAGAGAGAGAGAGAGAGAGAGAGAGAGAGAGAGAGAGAGAGAGAGAGAGAGAGAGAGAGAGAGAGAGAGAGAGCGAGAGAGAGGCTTACGACTCTGGCCGCAACTATCCAGAAATGGTCAGAAGTTTCTGTGACCTGGAGACGGTTGACATCGGTTGGTTTTGGTGGAAAGACGATGAGCTGTGAACGTTCATTCTCTTTAACGACAACGATTTGCGAGAGCGTGATGTTCACAAGGCAGAGGTGGACGCCGATAAAGGACTGGACAGTTTCTCAGTCCAATTGCACCTCCTCTGCCTGGTCATCTTCTGTGCTTTCCCGTGACGAGGAGGAAGATGCGGTGAAGGGACCAGGCTGTGTAAGTCTAGTCGAAACCCCTCCTGCTCTCATTCTCTGTTCTTTCATCCACAAGTGTCTGGCAACATCGCTCTGCTCCAGAATCCTTTGCTGTCCCGTGACTAGGAGGAAGAAGCATGGGCATATGTAGGTAGGTGTCAATCTATTCATCACTACTTTTTTTTTTCTTTTCACCCTCTTAAACCCTCTTTCTTTTTGTGTTTTTTCTTTCCCCCCTTCCAAAAGAGCAACGGCCTTGGGATATCGTCAAACTGACCAGCCCCAGGTAATTCAGAATGATTTGATTTCCTTCATGTAGTTTCATTTGGATTCGAACTCAGGTCTGCATTTCGACAGTCAATGGATGTACGAACTGAGCTAGGCCCGTTGGTTCTACTCTTGGACTCTAATAAAAAACAGGTAAAAAATATAAAAATATAAAAAACCTAAGGGTGTGTTATTAAACCTGCTGCAGCAAATAAGTTGATGTCTGGTGTGTAGTCGTTGAGGGGCGCAAGCGCATGTATCAACACATGACTTCCCTGCTGATTGTCCGCACCGACACATTTGTCATTTGGTCAGATACTCGGCAGAAATAACTGTATGCAAACATTCCACACAACTGCAGCTTTGCATCAGAAAGGCTAACATAGCGGGTTAAAGGCAAGCATAACGCCACATCGAAGGCGTGTTTTAGTCATTGTTAGTGCTGCTCAAATGCACTTTGTGCCTGGCGGATTATGGACTGGCAGAGGTGCGACCGATCAACAAACAATGAGAGCAATCTATCAGACTCACTTGACAGATCAGGCAGTCCCAAGACAGGTGGACTTTCATCTATCTGGATCACATTCTGGTGTACAGCACAAGTGTGGTGGTGACCCTTTCACATCATCTCCATTAGGCGCTATAAATATAGCCCCCCAGTGCTACGCAACCTGAGCGAGAGGGAGCTCTCCGAGCGCTGATTCATTGGCGCCTGCGCCAGCAAGAAAATGGCTGCAGCGCTGACTCATTAGCGCATGCGCCAGCACAAAAATGGCAGCAGGTCGGTGGCAGGATAAATCGACGACATGCAGGAATGTAACAGAGGTTCATTCCTTCATTTCTCGTGCTTTTTTCTTTTTTTTCCGTTCTCCGTCGTGTAGGTAATTGAGAAGCTGCAGCCCTTTTCTTGCAGTCCTGCAGAATTTCCAGATTGAGCCTCTGTCTACCCTTCTTCTTCTGTTTTTTTAACTTTTTTTATTTTTTATTTTTTTTTATCTTTTATTTTTTTTAACCACTCGTACCTTTGTCAGTTCGAAAATACTTGGCCTCCGACCTTTCAGGAGGCCGAAATGAAACGACGGCCACCGATCAGATTTATCAACGGCAGCCGTTGTTGGGCCCAGCCTCCTGAAAGTTCGGAGGTAGACCAAAACTTGTCGAAACCGGATGGCAAAGGTACTAGTGGTTTAATCTCTCGTGGCATCCTTGCCCAGGGGCCACGCTAATCTTGTATAGGTTCTCTGTATCGTCCCGATTTTAACGGATGTCCCTAAGGACATTGAGCCTCTGTCTCTAGTTATGCTCAATCTGGAACTCCTGCAGGACTGCAGCATAGTAAACAAATCTGACTCAAGGAATAGCACCCAGTGCAGGCGAGTAAGGCATCTCTACTATAGTCCGTTTTTCAGTCGTCTATTGACTTGCAGCACGGTTATGACGAAAAAATCTTCAATAGACACTGAGCCGTACTACCTTTTTTCACCAAGCCTCAATCTTATTCCTTTCAGACAGCCAGTATGAGAGAACCCCTCAGCTGGGAGGGTGTGACAGCGTCTTGAGGGACCAGTCCATTGGGGGCTGGTAAACTCCTAGCTAGCAGCTGCAAGTACCTGAGCGTGAGAACAGTCGAAGTGACCAATATAGTCAGTTTGTGTTCCTGCTCATGTCTCGCGATGCGCGACAGTCGTTAGAGCAAAGAAGTGAGCATCGTTGTGTCCTCATCGATCAGCACCCGCTCATCGTCACATTTAGCCACACCCAGTTCCCCATGTTCATCATCCTAGCAGCCGTAAGTACCTATCTCAGGCTATCTGTAAGTACGTATTGTAGTTGAATGAACAAAGACTGATGATCTGAGTGATACTCTATATAGTTGTTCTTAGTAAATTATGAGGAGCTGCAGTTGAGGACGAACTCACCCCGGGTGGAGAACCACCGTAGGACTGCTTCCCACCAGGACTGGACAGCCTGCGGTAGCAACAGGTGGTGATCAGGCATCAACACCAGCCTCATAGGTTTCCCTCAGCAAATCCTGAGGTTCGCTCCTCAACTGCTGCATCGGTGGTTTCCCCAGTGCACTCATAGCTGCAAACGCTCATGCGCACCTGCAGGACAACCGTTTGGGGTGTCACCCACTGTCAGTATCTGTTTATCACTCCACTCAGTGCTCCTCTCTCTCTGAACTGCCGTCCTGTGCTACCCACCCATC